TTTTTTTGGTCTTATAGCCCCCTACCTCCCCCCAGGAAATTCCATTCCCCTCTGTGGGGGTAATATGGATATTTCTGGAACTGCACATTGCTCCAAAAAACTTAATATAAAACTACACTGTAGTAGTTATCAAAGATTAGAGTAGTGCATTCAAGCATGTACTTTGCATGTTTGGTTTACTTACCACTGGTGGCATTCGAATGGCTCGATAGCAGACTAAGTTTGATTGAATGTCAGATAACAAAATGCATGTGAAGTTGAACTAGCAATGAATAGATTACAGCCTGCGGTAAAAGTGTGTCTAATTAATTAAGTATTAACTTACATACTGGACAAAATATTTTCCATTAAAGGCAATTTCAGATCACCAACACTTGTAACAAATATTTATTGAGACAATAAATTTGACCAGCGACCCTGCAAGACAGCACAGCGCCAAATTTTTTTAAATTGTTTGTATTTGTTTACATTGCTCGAATTTACATCTTGCTCGGTGTCACAAATGAAAAAGGTGAATTAACCACTGTGACCACAAAACACGGCCTTTTGGCAAGTTACACAACACCAAAAATTGTTTTCTCACAACCAACTAGACGCCTGGCTGCGTGTGCGCAGGCAGTCATTATACTGAGAAGCACTTGTCTAGCTATATTGCAATTGAGCTAAATGTTTTGCATTTGAAGTTGTACAAAATTCAATGGAATTGATGTGCTCAAGCTATTCTGCCTTTGATTGCATTTCTTGGAATTGATTAATACTGTAACTTATTACTTGTTTGCAGGCCTTCAGGGCGTGAAATGAATCAAGGTCTTTATATCAACCTATAAACACTTCAGTCTATTGTCGATAGCCTTTGTTGTTGTCGGGTGTTTTTGCATTTCTAAAGCAAGCGTGAGGAGCGCGAGGGATGGAGCTTGCCTTGTGCATGTGCTTTCCCCACGCTCAGAAAATATGCAAAAAGATAATGTCTGTTGAAAGATACCTACTTTTTTAATCTACTGTTAAGGCAGAGAACTCTTGAATTGTGACGTTGTTACTGCCTCCATCTTACTGTTGTAGTTTTGAGATAATAGTGATTCCAAAGCTCTTTGTAAAGAGGTAGAGTACTGATATCCCTCTAATGCAATCTCTTGATGTACAGTATCGTAGTAGCATCAAGCACAATTATAATATTGCTAACTGAGACAAACTTGAATATTAATTAATTGAATGACATCATTTGCAGAAGTGATTCCTTGACTGCTGTTAGAAATCAAAGGGCACAGTCAAACTCATCCCTACTCACGATGACTTCGATAGCGTTGATCCTAGCAGTATGCAGGACACCTGTCATATATGACCTCAGTTAAATGACCTTGCTCTCCATGAGTTCTCGTAGCTCAGTGGATANTCCTGTCAGGGACTCAGAATTTTTCTTTGTCCCACGCTCGTGTCATGTTGATTAATTCACCTTCACAATTAATTGTTGTCCCACATTTTGTCCAGATACCAACTCATTTCCTTGGCTATATGGTGGTGCTATTCTTGGCTTGCACGTGACGTCATCATGTTTGATTTTATCCTCATCAGGCATACGGGGTTCCCATGTATATCTGTGTACAACTTTTCAGCTGAGTAGCTTGCTTCGTCTGGAAACCAGTGCATTTTGAATTTCAGAGTTATGGCAGTGCGTGACATCAGTAGAGCTATGAGCGCATTTGTCGAAAAATATATACTTATCTCGTGATTTTTTGCCTATTCAGAAGTTAATCAAAGTATTAGGAAAGTGCTTATGTAAGCGCTTGTTTGTTCAGTATAGATAATCAGTCGCCTAGATAGCCAAAGTGAGTTCCAGATGTTTACACTATTTTCCCGTGCCATGTTGGTGTATCATGGGGTTAGCCCAGCATGGAGGCTCCATACTGGGCTCCATAAATTTGTGCAAAATGTTTCGATAGACATTTGAAGTTTGGGAAAATGCACAGACTTAAAACTTGGAGAAGTGTCACTCTTTTTTTATCAATCTCCTATAACATCACAATTGTTTGACTTTACAAAGTGAATGGTTTTCGAATAATTTTTTACTGCATCAGGATTGCGTGACAGTGCAAGCCAAGAATTGTTTTGCTTGAGTCAACATACACTTTTTTTTTCTATATCTGTGTTCAGCTTAAATGTACAATAATTCGATACATAGGTTTGAATTTTGTAACAAAACATAAATCTGTTACAAGAAAATAACGAGAGAATATCGTTTAGTTCGAGATGTTTACTTTATTACGGTGCTCAAAATTAGTGGCCATCCAGTCATCCAAGAAGACCGAAAAGTTTACCGGGCAACCAAGTTTTGGTAAAATCAAGATGCTGGGTGCCCAAGGAAAAAAACAACTGACAACCCAGCCAAAAATAGAAAATAAATTCATCATGAACAGCACCCAAAATTACCTGGCGGTTTTGTGTTGTCAATGTCTGATAGTGTGAAGTAAATAATAATTAATTTGCCTCAGCTAAGCGTTTTTCTGTGTTTTGGATATAAATTTTACAAAACATTGCCAGGTACAAAAATGTAAGAGAAAAACAGAAAGTTTCATGTCTGGTGGCCATCAAGATCAAAGACGCCGTTTTGAATATGCCACAACTTAAACCCAGACTTCCACGAAAACCATTGGTGCAGACTAAGAACTATGGGATTAGTTCAAGCTTGACCACCATGTGATTCTACACAGCGTGTAAATAAAGGTAGGATTGTACCATAATTGCTCTTAAATTCTCTATTTCTTCACTAAGGAGACAAAAATGGATATTTTTTGGAGTAGCGCACTTAAAAGTGTAGGTTTTTCTAATGGGCAACCAAGGATTCATCAGGGCAACCAAATTCACAGGTTTGGTTGCCCAGCTTTTCAAAAAAAAGGGACAACCTGTATTTTTTCTAATTTCAAGCACTGTTATTATACTTTTACGAAGTGTCTCAGAGCATTTACTTAGGTGTACTCCAACAGGATACATTCTTAAACAATTGCTCAGATGTTATTGAGTTCATGCTGGGATTCTACTAGGTTCATGATCACGCCTAAAAATACGATGACGCTTCTGAAGATGCTTTTTATCAAGTTGAAGAGTTGATAGCCCCAGTTGATAACTCCTTTGGTACAACGCTATTCTTGATAAATCACTCAAAATGTTTGCTCCTATTGATCTCTCGTAAGGCTTGCAGACCGACCCGTTCCCAAAATGCTTAATGTCTTTTAGTGTGGGTCTATCGCGAACGGTTTGTTTGTTTGTATGTGATGTCATTACCCTAGAAATCGTGGAATCCACGTTAACTTTAAACGACAACAACTTCTGTAAATTCTTACCATGTGCTCAGCTGCCCTACTCTACATATCAGGTGATGCATGTGCTTAGGAGACCAAGATGGCAATTTGTGGCTGAATGAGGAAAAAGAGAGAGTCGAAATTTGAACCCAGGCCTCACTGCCTGGGTAATTATGGGCACAATGAATTTGCTGAGCTACAAATCGGAAAACTTATTTTCTGACCACAGATCTAAGGGTCATCATAGCCATTCGCCGAGCTACATGGAAGATTTGTTTTCTTATCACAACTCATGGCCATTTGCTAACACCAAGTTACAAACCATTCTTTTCTGATGACGCAGTAACATTAACATTAAACTAACATTAAAGGTCTAACCACAAATAAATGGATTCGATTCTTTTTTTTTATCACAATTATGCTGTCATATATTGACATGTAGCCCTGATTGAAGTTGTTGAACTGTTTACAATCAATTCATACCTGAGAAACGGGAGGCAGTATGTTAATATTCACATCCTGACTTTGACTTCCACACCTTGAGACCTGTGTAAGAATTAAATACATGTACACTGTATTATGATATTACAAGCAAGGAGAGACCTCAGTGATGACAATTATTGATGACATTAGCAACCACTTTTGAGTGATCATCAGTTGGTCGTCAATAGACCAATGCCAATCTACGCCAATTAAGTAAATGGAAATAGATTGGCATTGATTCATCAAATGAATTGAATTGATTTTCTGATCATCAGTTTTATCGCTTGTTCATGTCCCAAATGAATGGACTGCGTTCATTTTGCTGGGTTCTCAGTAAACTTAGTCATTTGTGGGTTCAGTTTGTTGTTGATTATGGCCTTGCTTCAAGGGTTTGTCTCTAGGCACTCCAGTTTTCCTCCCTCCTGACAAACCAACATTTCATTACCCCGGCCTAGACTGGCTGTACAGATGATTTCCAGGTCTACACAGCCGATGGGAGCCCCAATGGGGGCCCTGATGGGAAACATGACTTCCACAAAATAGTGTACTATGAAGACACAAAATAATCCATGGTTTAACAACACAAAAACCAAACCATTTAGGTCAGGGCTAAATTCAATCGATTGCAGACACCCTCACTGCAAAAAGTAGTCTTCTTAAGGTGGCTCCATAGGGTAATCATTTATCATGTTGCGCATGCTAGTGTTATGTTTTGATTGCTGTTTTGGCATTCATTTTTACACCCAGTCCTTTCAAACTTATGAAATGTAATAAGCAATGATAATATGTTGATGTACTATCATCTCTGTTAAAATCTTGGCTTTTAATGTTGAATTATAAATGCCCAAACAAATGCATTGCTTACTGTTTTATGGCTAATTATGTGTGATTTTCTTGAATCTCCTTCGGTGAAATTTTCCAAAATTTTTACGGTACATTGAATACAGTAGAATACGCTTTTAAACACAAAAAAAGTAGAGTTTGTACTGGCAGTTTTTTAGATTTTTGCAAATTTATGTCTTTTACTGCTGCAGAAAAACTGGTCAGATAGATTTTGCTGAAAAATGAGCTCCAACTAATTAAAAGTAAAATATTTATTACCAGTCTGCCAAATTTTTCGGAATTTTACCATAGGAAATGTGAGAAAATTCACTGTCAGTTTTGGTTTTTGTGCTCATGTTGATGTCATAAAATATCGAAAAACACTGACATTTTCCTTTGAGCGCGCAGATTACTTGACCTTTCTTTCGTGCTAAGCGCAGGTACGATCATAAAACTATAGGGAGCCACCTCAAGAGGCCCTGCGCCTAAGGAACGACTGATGATTTCCGGCTAAAAAATAAAATCGGCTGATTTTTATCTCCCAAGTAGAGGTTACCGAAT